GGGGCCAGGGAGCCTCAAGAAATACCCCCAGAGTCAGTGGGGTGGCTCCTGGGCCAGGGCAGGGTCTGGGGGCCAAGTACTAGGGCCACATCTCCCCTCATTGTGGTCCCAGGCAGGGAGAGGGGGGTCGGGACATTGAGCCACTTGGTATGGGCAGGGATGTGGTCCCAGGAGAGAGGTGGGAAGGGGACTCACCATGTTGGTGCCATCTTCATCCGAGAGGCGCTGCTGCAGGTCGAACCACAGTGCCTGAAACAGTCCAGCACACAGTGATGCCAGACCCAGAGCCCCACTCCGCCCCCGGTGCCAGGAGCTCTGGGATCCCTGGGACGGTTGGGAGCTCCTAAGGGCCGGGCCCTGTTACACAGGGCTGGAAGACCAACCCTAGGAAGTGGCAGAGACTCCCTCTGGCCCTGGCATCTAGGGGCAATGGGAGGCAGAGAGGCCCAGGTGATCCACTACAGAGGGCATAAGGGGGGCCCAGAACATGTTGCTGGGGCAAGGACAGCTTGGGAGAGGCAGCACTGGGGAATCCAGAGGCCCGAGTCCAAGATGCTGGGGTTTGCCACGATGATGAGCAACAGCCCTTAGATTCCCTATAACTTACAATTCACCCCCAATCATAACCCCCAGCGCCTCAGGGATCGAATGGGGTGACCTGTTTTCTCTGGCCTAGATGGTTTACAAATACACATTCAATCTTCCAGACTCCCCAGGGTAGGTGCTACCCCACTGTAAGTTTCAGGCTCCAGGAACCACATCTGCTCTGTTCACCCACGCCTGGTGCCTACCCAGGGCCAAGCCCTCACAGATGATCCCCAGTCACTCTGTCACGGCAGACAACCCCGGCTCTGAAGGCACGAAAGCCGTGTAAGTGTCAGAGCGTGGGTCTGAACCCAGCGTCTCTACCTGACGCTGACGCACAGGATCCTGCTGCTGCTTCCTTTAGCTTGGGCAGCCCACTAACCACCACCTCTGTGGCTGTCTCCATCCATCCTCCATGAGGACAGACCGTCTGTGGGAGTCACACAGAGCACAGGTAAAGAACACCGGTTAATAAGGAAAACAGCAGCAGGTGGAGGAGTCTGTGCAGTCACCACCGTGACGTTCTAAATGAGCAAGGGGCCCTGTAGTAGCTGATCCTGGCAGGTGTACTGCCTTCTCCAGGGCACACAGCATGAACACACCTTGGCAAGTGCTGAAGCTGTGCCTGGCAAGATCAGGTCTGTTTCCATGGCTTTACAAGCATCCGTGAGGGGTCCTGCAGGGCTGGGGCTGGAAGAGCCATAGGAGGATGTGGCCCCCATATCTGCCCCATTCTTCTCCTAGCCAGCCGCCCCTAGGGCCTCCATCCTTGGCAGCCCAGGTTGGCCGGTGAAGGGCGGGGCCTGAAGCCAGGCCTGGATTGGCCCCTGCTGACCGCCCGGGCCAATTAGAGACTGGGGAGGAGAACCTGGTCCCACCCCGTCTCCAGGACGCCCAGGTACTCCGTGGTTACCAGCCAGCCTGGTTGTTAGGGCGACCGGGCTCTAAAAATAAACTTCAAAGAGTCTCCCTCCCGAGGCACCCGCTGAGTTGTTATGACAACCGGGCCACGGGGTCCCCTCCGAGCCGCTCCTGCAGCCCAGCCGACTTCAACAAGAAGGTAACTCCACCTCAGCCTCATCCCTGCAGGAGGAAGTTTGAGCTTCCTCCCTCGGACTTCGTTCCACGTCAGCCTCTGCCTCTCTCCGTGTGGGGGGGCCCCTTGTTCCTGCCCCCATGAATTCCTCAGAACCCCCAAACTAAAAGTAGCAATACCTTTTACAAAGGGTGTAAAAAAAAAATACCGAAAAATAGGAGAAACATAAAACCACTTCAATCCCAGGGTTCTGGGAGCTCAGTCACCTTGGCTTCTGTGGGTATATGGGTGTGGTGTGTGCATGTGGATAGGCTTGGGTAACAGAATGCCTCATAATAATTGCTAACATTGCTCATATTAAATGCAAACTACGGCACCGGGTCCTGTGCTGAACCACTGAGACATCACTTTGGTTCATCCTAATGACACCCCTGTGAGGGAGGGGTCCCATTCTCCAGGGTATTTTCTTGATCATCAGAGGAGGAATCTAAGCCTCAGGGAGGACAAGTCCCTGGCCCAGGGCTCCACAGCTATGAAGCGGCACAACCAGAATTCTGACTGATCCCTGAGCCCATCTGTCCGTAGGCCCTAAGACAAACTTTTCTCTCCACCAAATGGTCACATCATGAGCACTCTATCCCGAGTCATGAGACATTCTCTGAAAGTGTCTTCTGTAAGGGCTGTGCCATTTTCTATCACCCGTGGATGTCCCATATCACACTTAATACATGTGCTACTGCTGGTCACTTCCTTCCTTGTTTTGAATCTCTCCCGAATCATCACGTCTCTCTCTCGTCCTGGGGCTGCCTCTTGGCCAATACCTGCTCCAGCCATTTCAGAGCAAAGTCTCCTTGAAACTAGGGCCTTGCAACACGGGACCCTGCTGACCACCCTCTGCTCCTGGAGCTGCTCCTGCTGCCTGCCGGCCCACGCGACCCTCCAACACTCCCTTTGCCAGGCGCCCCTCCTTGGGCCTGAACAACACACGCATCCCCCGGGGTTTCACCCTTAGCTTCGTCCTCGGCACCCACGCCCCACGGAGGGATGTCTTTTCATGGTTCCCTGGCCCCTCTGCAGCCCAGACTTTTGTCCTGAACCCCAGCCCTAACTCTGCACTCCTTCAGGGCTTGGGAGGAGCAGAGGCGGGGGGGTCACGCCAGGGCTTACTTTGCTCTCCAGCCTCCCAATCAGCTCTGCCAAGCGGCTGATCTGCGCTTCCAGACCCTCTTCCTTTGCATCCTCAGTGGCTGCGGAAGAGAAAGAGACACACAGACTTCAGTGGGGGGCAGGGCGAGGGCTTTGGGGGGAAGCTGAAACACCCAGCCCTTCCAGGGGCGTCAAACTGGCCCCTCATCTCCCCAGTCCCCGTCAGAGGACTCTCAGAACTCCTAGGGACCTCCAGCCGCTACCCCCACCAGGGCCCCTGCTTTCTCTCACCAGATGGAAGGCTCTTGCCTTGTTCCACGGCCATGAGCTTGTGGTTGGGGGCAGAGGCGCGAGTGGGGCTTCCATACCAGGTCTGTGCCACACCGTGGCTGGGTCTGCTGTGGTTCTGTCTGCAGTTTGAATGGAAAACACACAGACTATGACGGCAGCTTCAGGGCCCTGACCATTTCTAGCCGCTTCAACAGGCATTTATTAAGCACTGACAGTGGGCTCACACATGCATAGAACTTGCATCATGGCCTTTGTTTTGACAGAGGAGGAAATGAGGTTTGTAAAGCAGGTGACTCAGCCAGGGCCACGCAGCTAGCTGGGCAGAGCTGGGATTTGAATTCAGCTCCATTCTAGGACCCCACGGCCCAGGCCTTTTCCCCCAAGAGATTCAGTTCCAGGGTGAGACTGAGCCAGGCGCCCACCCCCACCCTAACAGCTCGAAGCTTTCAGGCACCTGTAGAGCCCAAGCTGTGGCGTGACCAAGTCCCCCTCCCTCATAAGCCAATTTAATGTCTGCTGCCCTCTGGGGTGGTGGACCTGATTTCAAGACTCCCTCCAACACATACACATAAAAGCGAGACCTAAAGAGACAGTGGGGATGTAACACGACAAAAACTGTCATCCTGACCTGGGCCTGGCCCCATCTCCTGGCCCTGGACACCCCTACTCCTGTGCACACTGATGTGCACACACCCCTGTGCCATGACAGGCACAGCTAGCCAGAGGCAGACAGACACACACACACACTGCTCACCTTGCATCGTGCCCAGCCCATAGTAGTGACTCAAAAAATGCTCTGTGAATGACCAAATCCTCCCGTGCAAAAGGATGCTGAAAAGCTCCCGGCAGACATACAGAAACACAGACACTCCCCCCAAAAGACACACACAGTGCCCTGTGCACGGCCCCCACACTCCCTTGGTGTCTGTGCACCACGGTCTTGGTGCATTCTGGAATTTGACTCTTGTGAACCTTGCGCACTCAGCCAGGCTCTCCCCCATGCCGAGGGAGCAAACTCGACTCCCACCTTGGGAGGGGAGAGGCTGGCAGAGCCTTTGTGGTGTCAATCATGCCTTCTCTATAAACCAGCAGGAAATTAAATGTGTCCCTCAGACCATGACAGGTTGCTCAGGGCTCCTGGGCGGTGGGGTCTGAGCCAGTAGCCTGTGCTAGGGGCGACATCCTGGGAGACTGTCCCGGGGCTGGGAAACAGGACAGTCTTCAGGGACGCACAGCCTAGAGCCAAACTAGCTGAGATTTGGGGAAGTTCAAGGGAGGCACGTGTGGAACGAGGCATCACGACAAGCTGCCCCTCCGACCACATCCCCAAGTAAGGTCCCACCGTGGGGGCAGGTGGACGGAACTGCTGACACGTGATCCATCACGTGTCTAGTGCGGAAAGTCAGCTCTGAAAACTGTGCAACAATACTATCTGTTCTGTGGCAGAATCAAAACAGCAAGTTTTCATCAAGATAGGAACAGGAAAACCAAGGAAATCTAAGTGTCAGCTTTCATAGTGATGGCTGCTAATTCGAGGGAACCCAAGAATCACGAGACTGACCACACATGCAGAGTTCTGGCCTCCGCTCCCAGGGATTCTGGCCAGTGGGTATGGCCAGGAGCCCGGGAATCTATGTGTTAATTTTCCCAAGTGATTCAGCAGCAAATGCTCAGAGCAAACTCATCTGGAAACAGTATCTCAGAGCGACCTTCACAACCATATCTGATCAGGACCAGCTCTTCACCCACGAAGAAACACACAATCAAACTCCTGTCCCCAGCAAACCAACATCCTGGACCTCACGTGCCTCTGCCTGGGAAATTCAAGGCTCAATCGAGCTTGGGTGCCAACACCTGGCTGTTGCCCTCACCTGTTTGCATTTCCTCTTTTTCTTCTCTGTGCCAAGCACATGAGCTGTTCTGGGAAGAACTGGGCAAAGAGGGGTTTGTCTCAACTCAGAACAGCAAATGGAGGTGGGGTGTGCTCGTGGTCCCCAGGGAGCTAGGACTGCTGAGCCAAGAGAATGCCACTTCTCTCTAAATACCACGTCACAGCCCTAACACAGCATCTACCACCTGGGAGGGGACCCCAGATGCATTCCCATGGTTCCAAGCATACAAACAAGGCCTAACACAAGACCAAATATTGTGAGAAAACCACCTGCTTTCACGTCTCTTTCAGTCCTCCTGAGAAAGTCTCAACTTGCTACTACTGTCTTCAACACCTCTCTCTGATTTCCCAGTCTCTGTTTTTAACAGAGAGGTGGCAAGCCTCAGGATTCAAGCTGGATGGTAAGCAATGATGGGTGCTTGTTTTTACAGTTACTTCACTTACAGCATGTGGTGCTGAGAGTGCAGTTATAACCATATGCCATTTCCTAAACTGATCTCTAATTTTCAAAAGTGGGCTGGGGTGCAGCAGCTCCTGCCTGTAATCCCAGCCCTTTGGGAGGCTGACACAGCAGGATTGCTGAGACCAGGAGTTTGAGAACAGCCTGGCCAACATGGCAAGACCCCATCTCTACAAAAAATAAAATCAAAAAATAGCTGGGTGTGGTGGGAATACGTGTCTGTAGCCCCAGCTCCTTGGGAGGCTGAGGTGGGAGAATTGCTTGAACCTGAGTTGGAGATTGCAGTGAGCCACAGTGGTGCCACTGTACTCCAGCCTGGGGGACACAGCGAGATCCTGTGTCGAAAAATAAAATAAGGCCGGGCTCCATGGCTCAAGCCGGCAATCCCAGCACTTGGAGGCTGAGGTGGGTGGATCACCTGGGGTCAGGAGTTCAAGATCAGCCTGACCAACATGGTGAAACCCCATCTCTACTAAAAATACAAAAATTAACTGGGTGTGTGACAGCGGGCACCTGTAATCCCAGCTACTAGGGAGGCTGAGGCAGGAGAATCGCTTGAACCTGGGAGGCAGAGGTTGCAGCGAGCTGAGATCACACCACTGCGCTCCAGCCTGGGTAACAGAGCAATATTTGGTCTCAAAAAAAAGAAAAGAAAAGAAAAGAAAGAGAAAAAGAAGACAGACAGACAGAAAGAAAAAGAGAAAGAAAGAAAGAGAGAAAGAAAGAGAGAGAGAGAGAGACAGAGAAAATAGGCTGGGTGCGGTGGCTCACGCCTGTAATCCCAGCACTTTGGGAGGCTGAGGCAGGTGGATCACGTGAGGCCAGGAGTTCAAGAGCAGACTGGCCAACATGACAAGACCCCGTCTCTACTAAAAATACAAAAATCAGCCAGGCATGGTGTTGCACACCTGCAGTCCCAGCTCCTCAGGAGGCTGAGGCATGAGAATTGCTTGAACCCGGGGAGGGAGAGGTTGTAGTGAGCCAAGATCACGCCACTGCACTCCTGGGCGACAGAGCAAGACTCTGTCTAAAATTTAAAAAAATTAAAAATAAAATGTAGGCGAAACCACAGAATAGTTCTGCATAAACAGTAAGTAGTATGTGGATGCGGCAAAACAAATTAGAGTCTGGGAAACGGTGTCTTCACCAGGCATATTAATAAATACGTGCACCAGGGCATTCTCCTGAGCATTTACTATCTCATTCAGTCCTTGCAATGGCTGAGGTTTCAGGCATATTATCGTGCCTATATTACACAGCGGAGCACTGAAGGCACAGAGAGCTGTGGCAACTTGCCCAAGGTTACCCAGCTCTTAGGTACACAGACACCCCCACCAAGCAGCAGGTGGGCACGTGCGTATGCATCGCATACCCCCATGGTACCCTGCAGGGTCTCAGAGACTCACCGGAGCTGGCCGGTCTGTTCCTCGATGGCCTCCACTGCACTCTCCACGGAGCTCAGCAGTGACTGGATCTGATTGGCTGTCTCCTTCAGGAGGAAGCGGGTCACGAACTGGTCCACATTGCTCCCGCCCTCATAAACCTGTAGAGGGAAGGGAAGGGGCACTGAGGGGAAACGGGTGGGACGGAAATTTGAGGTGGGGTCTAGCACAGGAGTCGGGGGGAAGCTGGTGCTGGTGAATTTGCTTTGCAAAGGGAAGGGAGGACCCCATAGCCTCTTGGGGTCCAGTCTTAGAGGCTGGAGTGTGTCCAATGCAGAGGCTAGAGGTTTAGAGACCAAATTTGAACCCTGGCTTCACCACTTACTAGCTCTGTGACCTCCCCAAGTATAATGGGGTCACTGAAGTATCTGTCTTACAAGGTTCTAGTAAAGATTAAATGGCGACATGTGTATAAAATGCTCTGCACAGGGCCGGTCACACAGCAAACACTCAATCAACAGTAGGTGCTACAGTAGAGATGACGGTGATGGTGGCAGTGATAGCGACTGGTGGTTTTGTTGTTGCTGTGACAAGGATAATCATGAGGCAAGAAGAATCCACAACCTTCCCTCCCTCCTTGCTCCTCCAAGGAGGATTCCTAGGGCTTCTGGATCTCCAGGCTGCTACTAAGGAAAACGACAAAACGGAATCAAAAGCTGCTCAAGGGAGGAAAGTGCCCGGGGCTTAGTAATCAAAAGGAGGCGGCCAGAGAGGAGCCTGGAGGGAATCAGAGAGGGGGTCTTAGCAGATGCTACGACCAGGGGAACTCTGGGGAAAAGATGAAAAAGAGTTTTCTCCAAGTTTTGCTCTGTGGTGTGGAACAGAATTTCCACCTCTGTCCTGAGACTCTGCAAGGACATTTCTCAAGCTTTTGGATCCAGCGGAGATGCTTTGGGCTGCAAAGGCTTTATAGCAGAAGGGAGAAGGCTCTGCTTATCCATGTCGCTCAAGGACAAGATGATGAAAATGATGCTGTGTTGGGGGATCCTGGGTCTCCCAAACCCTGACCTGCTCTCCTGGCCTCCTCTGCCAAGACCCCGCCCTTCCCAAGCCACCTGCCCCAGGCGCCTTGGAATTCTGCCCAGTCCCTGGCAAGGCAAGCAAAAACACGGCTCTCAAGGAAAGCAAATTAAACCATCCATCACTCTGACTGGGAATTAATTAGCAATAATTGCACAATGGGAAACACGGCTGAGAGACAGACTGAGAAACAGAGGAGGAGGAGGAGGGGCACACAAGAAGACAGCTAAGGCATGGTGGAGGTGGACAACCCCCCCGAGCTGATGGCTGGACCAGGGCCTGCTGGGGACAGACCCTGAGAGAGTACATGGCCAAAAGTACGTCAGGTTCTTACAGCATGGCAGGTTCCGGCAGCCTGATACATGACAATGACCGAAACCACACATGATCCAGCAATCAACAGACTCCAGACACGCGAATGGCCAAAAATGGACATAAAGGCATAGCTTGGTAAAATATTTAAACATAAAGAAAAAGGCTGCTAGAAGTGATCAAGCAGAAAAATGGGCTGAAGTGTGTGTTAAAAGCACCCGGACCAATGACTGAAGATGTGGTCAGGGATCAGTGTTACCAGTTAGCTGAATTCCAAAGAAGACAAGTTATTTTCCAAGGAGTAAAAAAATGAAGATTTTCCTGATTCCTCCTCCACCACAATTGAAAAGCAGCCTACATTCCCCAACGTAAAGATACAATCCCAGATTTGACACGGGGGTACAGGTGCCTATTTGTTACATGAGCATATTACATCATGGTGAGGGGACTGAGCTGCCTCAGACAAGAGACCAGCTCCACAGGCTCCATAGGGAAAGTCTCAGATGGAGAAATTTTGCATCCAGTGGACAAGTTACTCATTGGTAGAACAACTGGGAGATCTCCAGAAACCTGCAAATTTCTGAAATTTTACTAGATGAGCACCTTTTCTGCAAACAATGCTTAAGAATTTGTCCTAAGTCATCTGGGCTTCAATGAGGGAAAGTTCTTCATATGGGGAAGTTGTGAAAAGAAGTAACAGTGATCACTCAAATTAAACATTCAGGTTACAGAAGTTAGGAAATAAAAACATTGACCACTAATGGTTTAATTTCAACTATATTGGATTTAGTCAATAAAGTATAGGGGAAAAAAGCCTAAAATCTTAAAAATTATTTTTATTCCCAAAGGGAAGAGAAAATGTTTATTAGCTAAGTATAAAAATAGGATTAAGAATGTTAATAATATATTTTTGTAAAGTGAAAACTAGGAATTGTACATTCCAAATCATAATCCATGATATAAACAGGGCAGAGCACCAAAAGGTAAAATGTAAAAGACATGAAGAAAGCATAAAAAAAGGGAAGAATAAAACACAACAGTCAGAGCAAATAAAACAATCATAATGAAAAAGGCAGCCCGAATTCCCTTATATAAAGACACAGTCCTAGATCTGATTAAACAAGGTCCATCAGAAGTGCACCTAAACCAAAACAGCACAAAGGACTTATAAAGAAAAGCCTGTGTAAAGATTCAGTAACCACCTGGTGATTGAATGAACAGGATAAGGTGCAATATCACTATCAAGTTAGAATTTAAATGAGAAAGTATTGCCCAAGAAAGGTAGGAATATAATGATAAAAGGCATAAGTTATAACAAGGACATGCCATTATTAAATCTTCATGTACTGACACAGGATATAGCCATGGGGACTTCAATGCTTACAGCCATCTAATCAAACCATTTTGCTATAAGTGAAGTGCCATAAACTGCTCAGATTTTTTAACCCAGTAATTCCCCAACTCTGATAAATTATCCTCAAGAAATAGTGCAAAATATGGACAACTATGTCTCCCACAAGGTATTCATACTAGCAAAAACTTGGAAATAATCTAATATACCTAACAGAAGAAAAAAAAATAAGTACATTAAAATATTTAAAATGATGCTTTTGAACAGTTTTAATAACGGGGAAAATGTTAAAATATTAGGTAAAAGAGCAGGAAATACATTTTTGTACACAGATTATAAATTTAAGAAATACACATAAAAAATGCTAAAGGTAATAAACCAAAATGTTACCAGTAGTGAGGGATAGTGGGAATTAGAAGCAATTTGAATTTTCTTTATACTTTACTCTCTAAATTTTGCATATCAACTACGTACCATTTATATATAACAAAAATACTATAACAAGTCTATATGCATCAAACAACATGGCTAAAAATATAGAAAGGAAAACCATTAGAAACCCAAAGATTTAACGACAAAACACAATTTAGTATGAGAAATTAGCTGTCTACGGCCATACCACCCTGAACGCGCCCGATCTCATCTGATCTCGGAAGCTAAGCAGGGTCGGGCCTGGTTAGTACTTGGATGGGAGAAATTAGCTAACCCCTGTCCCACAGGACAGAAACATTAGATAATCATAAATAAGGATGCAAAGGGCACTGTTAGAACAGTGAAAGTCTTTGAAATGGGCAAAAACAACTCTTGGGTTTCTTGTTTTTCTAAGTTCACTGTTTTTTCTAGTTTATCTAAGTCTTTCCTTATTCAGGAGCTACTTTGTTTTGTTTTCCAAAACTGATTTATTTGAAAGACAGATTTGAGAACTTGTTAAAGGAGGGAAGCAGAGGACAGAAAGTTGGGTTTTATGTTTTATGAGTCTTATTTCAGATTTCAGAGGGTACATGTACTTGTTTGTTACACGGGTACGTCATGGTGGGGGTGGAGTTTCTAGTGTACCCATCACCCACATATTGAACATTGTACCTACGAGGTAATGTTTCAACCCTCACCCCACTCCTACCCTCCCTGGAGCAACTTTTACAACTCTGTGGACACAGACCATTTATAATAATTCAAAGAGTTCTCTTCCGGCTGGGCATGGTGGCTTATGCCTGTAATCCCAGCATTTTCAGAGGCCAAGGTGGGAGAGGATTGCCTGAGCCCAGGAGTTTGAGACTAGTCTAAGCAACATAGGGAAACCCTGTTGCTACCAAAAAGAAAAAAAAAAAAAAAGAGAAGAAAAAAATTAGCCAGGAGTGGTGGCGCCCACCTGTGGTCCCAGCAACCTGGAAGGCTGAGGTGGGAGGATCGCTTGGGTCTGGGAGGTTGAGGCTGCAGCAAGTAATGACTGTGCCACCGTACTCCAGCCTGGCAACACAAGACCACATCTTATAAAAAAATAAAAAAATTCTCTTCCTCAGAAATGCCCAGGAATTTTGTCTGGCACTCTCCACAGGGCAATTGGTTGTTGCCCTGGGATAGTGACCAGTCATGCATTTATTCACCAATTGATTTCGGAACTGCTATTTACCTAATACATTAGTGCACAAGTTCTTTCAATTCTCTTTTGAGCCAGTTCCAACATCTTACTGATTCTCACATTGAGTTAAAGAAAATCTTTGGGCCAGGCGCAGTGGCTCGTGCCTGTAATCCCAGCACTTTGGGAGGCCGAGGCAGGTGGAACACCTGAGGTCAGGAGTTCGAGACCAGCCTGGCCAACAGGGTGAAAACCCGTCTCTACTAAAAACACAAAAATTAGCCGGGCGTGGTGGTGCATGCCTGTAATCCCAGCTACTCGGGAGGCCGAGGTGCAAGAATCGCTTGAACCTGGGAAGCAGAGGTTGCATTGAGCTGAGATCAGATCAAGCCATTGTACGCTGGCCTGGTCAACAAGAGAGAAACTTCGTAT